CAAGCCAAGCCTACGGCGCGCGCCACTATTGACTAAAGAAAAAAGAAGAGACAGTCCGTCCGTTCCGTCAGTCTCTCTCTGTGTATGTGTATGGTGTGTGTTGAGAGATGCAATGGGTGCGCATACACCATACCCCACATGAATTGAACAACTTCGCCTTGGACCTCTCTCCCCGCGACAGACATCCAGACTGAACTTTGCCTCCAGAGAACATCTCTTCACCCACCCACTTCACATGAACCGTTCGGTCGTTCAAGCTAGTAAAAAGATAAACGTGCTATTAAACGCCACTGGAAACACATAAGGGAAGAGTAGAAAAAAGCATGTGCCCGTACCTGGCAGGTATCTATTATATCCTCCTTCTCCCCGTCTCCGAAACAAGAACATCCGGGGAGATAAAAGCCCACCTTGAACGGGGCGCATTGAACAATGCCTTTATCATCGCCCAACAAAAGAAACATAAAGGCTAGCTCGAGTGCGGCTTTTCTCCTGTTTCGATGCCTCCATTGCGCGGAGACGGCCCAAAGTCCGAAGCTACTACATCCCACGAGCCTTTTCTTCTTTCGTATCTGAATCCTGCTCTTGTTTGCTTATGAATCCCATCGCGGAAAAGCAAAGAAACGAAACGTTCCCCCCGATGATTAGCTAAATGTCAATCGAACCGGAGCTTTGGATCAGTCTTCGTCACCTCTTTCCTTCTTCCGGCTACACTTCTTTACGCCTCTCGATTGATTATCGGTCTCCAAACTTAGCTGAGAAAGAGCAGAGAAAAAGCAGTACAGAGCACAGAACAAGCCTGTCAATATGGATAACCGCGAGATAGAATCTAATAGACCGAAGCATTTCAACGTGGATCGGTCTAGAACCCCCCGATCCCAGAATCCCCTCTCGCTTACCCTGCTCCCCCATCCCAACATATACCATTAAGGTACGAATAGCAACCTTTGTTCCCCCCCTTCCTTACGTATCCTTCCCCAAACCCTGAACCCTTCCTCCCCTTTCCGTCGCCCGTCCATGCCGGAGAAAGGCACCACCCTCCCCTCTCCCCCCTCTTTACCATACTCACTGCAAGAGGATTCAAAGAAGCTAACTAGGTATCAGACAGTGGTAAAAGGGCAAGCAAACTTTGGATACCTTACAAACCCCGGAGAGGAGCTAAAGACCGCCAAGCCGTCCAAACACCTCAACGTAAATCCACAACACACATATACAAAGCTTCCCTTTGACAAGGTAATATCTCTATTCGGGCGTCTCCCCTCTCTGCCCACTCAAACTCCGAGAACCCGGCTTTCGCAAACGGTAAGTGTTCTTAAACCACCAATCTCAATAGTCTAGAGAGAATGCGGGAACATATACGGCCCCGTCACGCCCGTCCCTTAATGAAAAAAAGAAGGCGGCATTTCCATCTCCCAAAACCCCGTCTCTCTCTCATTAGCTTTCTCCGTCTCCTCCGCATCTACAGTCTTATGCTTCACTTAACCATCCACCCTTCCTCATTGCCGCGACGTGCTGCCGTAGATGCCCTGATACCCTCTCCTATCCTTCTTGGCTTCTTCGCCACCCCTCCCTTACAGCGAGCGAGTGACCTTTACCTTGCCTGCCCTTGAAGGTGCAAAACAAAAAACCGTTGCCAAAAAAAAAGTCCGACTTTCCTACAACTCACACCCCCCTCCCCCCTTCCCCTCCCATCCGTCATCCAAGAATAAAGTCCCGAGGGAGCGGAAATCGCGGGGTACGGCGGGCAGAGAAGGCGAGACGCGCGCACGTCTTGCGCCCAGAGCGGTCCTCCTCTCCTCTCTCCCTTGCCTTACTGTGTGTACACTACCATTGCTCTTCATGAATCCTCCGCTCCCCCTCCAAGACACTCTCTCCAACTTCCTCTCCCCCCAAAGACCTGTCCAGGAAGGAAGGGGGGGAAAAGCAACATAGTTTCCGAGATACAACGCTAGCTTTTCCCGATACATACATGATTTTCGCTCCCATCAAGCAACCCTCTTTCGTCAATAGCAACGCCCATTTGTGGTAAAGTTTCCCGGTAAGGCGCGCCGTCACGGCAAATCAAGCATCGGGCGGAAGATGATCGGAAAATCAAGGATGGATGAGCGGATGATGTAGATTTAGTGAGGAACAAGTAGGCCTATCCCGGATGTCTATCTACGTCCGACAGAGAGTTGATACCTTCTTGTGGCTATCTCCCCAAAGTGACTACTTCCAGCCACGTGCTGCAGCTAGGAAAACAAGTGTTGTATCGGTATACACAGATTAGAGCTTCCTCCCATCTGCCACAGCCCTTCAGCCTCTCCTTCTCCAAGCAGACCTCCTTCTCAGCTCGCGTGCGCGGATATGAATGGTCCATGTGAGGAATCCAAACCATAAACATATGAACAATCCGGGAGTGGAAGTGTGCAGATACATGGCATCATTTTCTTTTGCGACCGACTAGACGTCAAAAAAAAGGTCTGTAAGAAAGACTCCTATAACACCGCCAGCTTGCCCTCATGTGTTGTTTGGAAAGAACAAAAAAATTATGAACTCCCAGTCTGCCCAAAGGTTTGATTGAATCTCAAGAAACCTACGCCCCAGGATATGCCTCTCTCTTTTCGTGCGCCGTTCGCCCAACGAGGAGCTGGTTGTTCATCCGTGACATGGGGGAAAATGTCCGAATCGTCTTCAAAGCAGAACTCGAGATCTCGTACGTCCAATAGTCGTGGCTGTGAAAGCCTTTGCCAGCGCTTCTCTAATGCTGGCAATCATCAAGTCGTGACGTGGAAAATGCTTCTGCCTCGCGGCAGTGGGCCCGTCGGATTTGCGAATCGAATGGATCGGGGGTGTTGCCGTGGATCCGAACAAGTCCGTCGATAAAAAGGGGGGGGATAAAAAGTCGAGGTTGCGGACGAGCTCACAAGACGACACATTTACTCTTCCCTTCCCTTCTGCCCACTTTGCGACGATAGCGGTCGCCACCCTCCTTGTCGTCGTATCTCGCTCCGGCATCGCCATTGATAGGCCGAGTGCTGCTTCGTCCGCCGGGCTGCGGCCTCGAGGCGGCCTGTCGCTGCCTCCTCAATATTCTGACAACGTCATAGAAGGCCTTCTCGACGTTTATGCAGTTCTTGGCCGAGGCCTCGACGAATTCGCAGCCCAGCTCGCGGGCCAGGGCATGTCCTTCTTGTGTCGAAACTTCTCTCTCGGTGACTCTGTCGCTCTTATTGCCGACCAGCATGATTGGCACAGGCGCTTGTGGGCTGGCTGCAGAGATTGGCGAGCCCGGGTATGACGGTGAGGACGCACATGACTCCTTGACTCGCTGGATCTGATGATGAAACCGCTTGATCCGTGAAAACGAAGATCGTGATGAGATGCTATAGACGAGAACGAATCCTTCTCCATCTCGGATCCATTGATCTCGAAGGGCTGTGTACTCTTCTTGGCCGGCAGTATCGAGAACTTCCAACATGCATGCTTGCCCATCAATGACAACTTGCTTGCGGTACGAATCTTCGATCGTGGGGTCGTACTGTTTTCGGTAGAAAAGCACGGTCAGCGGGCGGCTCTTGGGGGCGATAGCAGCGGGGAAAGGATGGATTTGGGGGAAGGGGTCAAGAGAGAGTCGACGACCGACCGAAGAAAAGAAAGTGACGATGTGATGCGAAGCAAAACGAACAGAAATGGCGACTTACTGTTTCCACGAAGTGTTGCAGGCAGAGCTGGATTGTCAAAGCGGTCTTCCCCACGCCGCCGTCGCCCAGGACCACCAACTTGTACAGCACCATTTTTCCTGCCATGATGGGCAGCTATCTGAGGCGAAGAACGATGGAAAGAAGTCGACTCTTTGTCGTTGGAATAAAGCCGCTCGATTGATGATGAGTAGCGAAAGTCAAAGCGAAGCAGAGATAGAGGGGCGATTCGCGGGGGCGGAACGCGAGGTGGGTGGTGGTGGTGGTGGTTCGTCGGTGATTGTGAAGGTGGTGGTGGTGGAGGAAAAGACGACGAACGCCAGTCGAGAATCGATGATAGAATAGGCAAGGTGAGAAAAAAAAAAGGGTAAGACAGGTAGGTAAGTACGGATAGGTAAGGTAGGCAAGGTTGGTGGCAGCAAGTGGTAGGTTAGTGGAGGCCGAAAGGTGGTGGTTGTGGTGGACTGGTGGTGGCCGCAGGAAGTTGGGGAGCAAGGTAGGAGCCCAAATCTTGTTGGATTTTGGAGCCCGAGCCCTGGACGTGGACAGTGGACTCTCTCCTCAGCAGACTGGTGGATTGGATCGACCGGACTGGACCCGACAAGCCAGTTAATACGTAGCAGCAGCGACAGCGGTAGTATCAGTAGCGGCGGCAGCAACAAGCACCAACGCAGCACTGTGACTGGGGAGGGGTCGCTCGCGGTGGGTGCCGTCTGTCCCTGCTCTCTTTTTCTCTCTCTTTCTCTCGCTCACCCTCTTCTCTTCGTCTGTCTCTCTGCCTTGGCTTGGCCGGGGCTAAGGTAGGCTGGGCTGAGCCGGCAACTGGCAACTGACAGGTTGGCACACGGTCGCGCGTTGCGGATGCGAATCGGTGCGGGCAGCTTAGGTATGTGTATGTACGAGTACAGGACGATTGCGCGCACACAGGCCGTATGACCTCCTGTCTGACCCTCGGGCTTGTTTGGCTTGCTTTTCTCTTTCTTTCCTTCGTCTCGTCTCGTCTCGTCTTGTCGTCTTCTTCGTCTTCTTGGATGGGCAAAAGGTGTGGAGAAATGACAGACACTGACTGGACTGGCGGGTCTAGCTTGGGACCTGGGCTTGTGTTAGATGCTTGGGTTAGGGAGAAGGATGATACCGGGATAAAGGCGAAGCGGAGCGGAGGCGCACAGCCGACTGTTGGCTAGCCCGCCCTTCTCCTGAGAGGCTGTCAACCCTCGTTACCTCCACGCGCCAACCCGAGCCACCCAGCTCTGTATCCGCCGTAACTTGGGTTGGCCGGGATGGGACGGGGAAGGGGACTGAGTGGCAGCGAGAGTGGGAGTGGGAGTGGGAGGGGGTCGACAAGGGGACAGGGGTGTAGGGACGGGTTGGAGACGAGCGAGCGAGCAAGCCACAGCAAGCAGTTCCAATTCCACCGGCTGGTTGGGGTTTGTTGGTAACAGCGTCGACGGCGGCAGCGGCAGCGGCAACAGCACCAGCGGCGCAAAGCAGCAGACAGAAGCAGGCGAGGGTTGCGGTGCTATGCGGTGCGATACGGTACGTACTCTCGAGGGAGCGTAGTACCTAAGGTAGCGTACGCATGCAGTAAGGTGAGGTGAGGTAAGGCAAGGCAAGGCAGGACAGGGCAGGGTACCTGGATTATTGGTGCTGGCGTCACTTCGGAGAACGTACCTTTGTTGGTGTGTGGTGCGAGGTTGATAGACCACGCAGTAGTGTATTCGTACGCTATCGCAATACCGTAGCGTACGCAGTAGTGGTTCGACCTCGATGAATCGTTTAGTCGCGGTTGGTTCCTTGCGCGTGGTAAGGTAGGCCCAGGTAAGGATATGGGGATATTGAGGCAAGCCGCAATCCGCAATGCGCAAGACGAGGATCGGGATATGGCGTGGATGATGGATTGGCGATTGTCACGGTATGCCGGTAGCGTTGTCGTCCCTCCGAGATGCGGACAAGGGCAAGCTCTGGTCGGCTCGGTTCGTCGTGAGACGTCGGTCGGAGTTGGAGAGTGCTGATTCAAGCGAATCAAATGACAGCGACTGGACAAACCTCCAAGTTAGCTCCAAGTCAGTATCACGAGCTATCCCAGTATTGAGATATGAAGATGCCTTTCTCTCGCCCCTTTTCCCTGTTCCAATGATGCCTCGACTTCCAGTAAGGAAATTCCAGTATCCGATGATAGGATATGGATAGACCACACGGGACTATGTACTCCGTACACAATTAGTGTACGCAGTAGTGACCAGTAACCACAGATTGGCGAAGGGATAGGCTGGGCCGATTGAGGAGAAGGCGCTGACGAAAGTGGATTGAGCTGTATGGACGACTGGAGGGGGGAAGGCGAGGCAGCAGGGCAATCAACGGGGTAGGAGGGGCAATGATCAAGGATGAAGCCGGCGACGGAAGACCAGCAAGACGCTGTCTACTATGCGCTCGGTCCAGCACACGAGGGTGATGTGGAGGGATTGCAAAGGTGAGATGGATGCGTAAACATACCGTTAGTGTTTCTGTCTAAAGACGTGGTGAGGGGGAAAAGGAATGAATCAGCGGGCAAAAAGATTTCAATTCTTAACCCGAGGAGCGGCGGCGGAACAGTGGGCAATGTACAGCCTTGGCCGGTTTGGGATGTCGTTTGAAGGAACCACGTACAAATAGGATTTGAGGTGAGAAGGTGAGTAAGGTGAGGTAAGGTAGGTACGAATGTCAGAAACGATTTGAACGGATAGGTATGCAGCGGGGGACAAAAAAAAAAAGCGCGCGCACGAAAGCGATGGATGGAATGCGGCGACGTATCCGCACCTGATATAACAAACAAAGGTAACTTGCGTAGCCAGCCAGCAAGTTGCAACTGCCTCGTTCAAAATAACAACAATAACAACAACCACAACAATTACCTGGGAGGGTGAAGCGAGATAGATTCATCAGGCATTGTTTGGGCAACTCTACTGGCTGTGTGAATGCAGCATGCCTTTCTTCTTCTCGTGATTCTCTGATCATGATGCTAGAGATGGATATCAATGCAATTGTCAGTTGCTTTACCTACCCAGTATGTGTCTGGTGATGTGGTGCCTTCCTTTTTCCACCTACCCCCCTCCCCCTTCCTGATGGACAAATTTTCTGATTCGCTGAGTTCAATCGCGGCAGGTAGCGAGTAGTTCCTGGTTGCATCCCATTTGGAAAGAAGGAACAGGTTGCTTGTGAATAACACCTCAGGATGCAGGCGAAATGCAGACAGGCTGCAATGGCAGCCCCCAGTATTGAGTACGTACTCCGTACAGGTATCTGGTATGCCTCCTCCGTACCCCAACCTTAATCATGAAAAATGGAAGGAACCAGCATTCCACTGTTCAGAAGCTATGGATGAGGAAGCACGGAAGGTACCTACTTTACCTGACCTATCGTTCCTGCGGTTTTGTATCACGCACACCGTTTCTGGCAAGTTACTCCAAGCACGCACTTCACCCCAATAAGAAGGTACACAGTACCCGACATCACGTCACAGATTGATAACAAGACGTATGCGTTGGATTTTTGGCCAGCTTGAAACCATGACGGCAAATCGCAAACCACAAACCACAAACCATCAACCGGACGGCCGCCGACAAGCCATGTGGCTGATGTACCCGATGACGCTGGAGCAGAAACAATTCCATGAGGCAAGGTACTAGGTAATTACCAAGCATCTGCTCCAGCCACAACAAGCGTCTCCAAGCTGCCGACGCTCCATGTACGCAGATCCTACCTACCACTAGGTTCTTGAATCAAGAGCGAGGCTGCGAGCCCGCCTTCAATCTGGACGTTGTTATGGAACACAGACGGCTATGGAGATGGAGCCCCAGCCACGCCGGCCCTGGGCGAGCAAACCCCGCGACACAGAATACGGCGAGGCTCAGCAGCGGATGGGTGCATTTACCCTTTTCGCACCCGTATGTTGTGGACGAGGGATGACGGGGACAAGGACGAGGACGAGGACGAGGACTCGGCGGATACAGGGACTCATGCCAACAGCCAAGCGCCCACTGCCGCCCTACCCTCCATTCGCCGCGGTCAGATTCCTACCTAACTTACCTTACGGATACCATGTCAATGGAGAGAAGCTCTCGAGAGTCAAGCTAGGGGTACGGCCCACGGGGTTCCCTGCGCTGTGCAAGGTGACGTTTGCCTGGTCAGGACTACAACGACACCACGCCGGCTTGGGCTCCGATTGCAGCTGCGGGTTGCGAGCTGCATGTTTCCTCCTTCCAACATTAGCGCGGCTGTCCTCAAGAACGAACCGGCTGGTCTTCCATTGGGTCCAATTGACATCCCGCGCTGACGCAGCAGCCCATCTTCCCGCTCAGTCCCGCCCACCCACACATGCTACACTCGCGGGCCAGACACGCCAGAGAGCAGCTTTTTTCTCTAGTTTTTTAAGTGCCGTAGGTATCTTCGATGATCGTTCACCATTTCTTTACTAACGGAAACTGTGACATATCCACAGTTGTTTGTCCTTCGCCCTGAATTTACTCGTCTTGTTCTATCTTATCCAGTGCTATCTTCGAAAGTCAACACGGAATTATTGTGGCACATAGAAACAAAGTTGGTCTCACCCCAGTTGACCGAGGCAGACATATGCCACCGTTCGTTCTTTTCCTCGCGAATGAGGTGGGTACACCGTCGTGGCGGAGGCTATCCCGTCCGAACGGTCGACACCGATACGAATATACCTGGTCCAATTTTGGTCAGCTTTCCAAGGGCAGACTTTGCATCTGCATCTGCGTCTCTTCCATTTCTTCCGATACATGTTCGCCAAGGGGGGGGGGGGGGTTCTTGCCCTCTCGCATTTCATTCGGTACACCGTACAAGCTGGACACTGAGCATGATGCTTTTATTTCGCGACCCAAGTGGTATACTAGGTCATCCAGGCGTTTACCTTCTCGTTGCCTTCGCCGAGCGGCTTCACTCCCCGGTAGAGTCCATGCGACCACTAACTGGGAAGTTGAGCAATAATCGTCGTGCCTGCCTAGTATTTGCGGACAGCCAGACATACCTGGCAGCTGCAGCTACGAGCGCACACTATCGCAAAAATCCAGCTCAAGCTTAACCGTCTGGACCATAGCTTGCTTGCCCCGGTCTGGTATCTGTCTGCGACCCGCCCTAGTCAAGGTCAATCGACTAGTGGTCAGTAGACAACGATGGAACTAGAGCTGTCCCGGGCCTGGACACGGAGCTGGACCTCGAATTAGGATAACAGGGCAAACATGCCATTGACAACGATTGGAAGAGTCAAGAGATCAACCCTTTCCTAGACCGAGATCCAGGCCAGTCTGGTCCCTCCAAAGCACCATCTCTTCACCACAAATCGCTTCATGAATTGCCTGATGATGTGATCTAAACTACTAACCCTAGTTCTCTACCGATACTTAGGGTAGCTACCCCAGCTTATGTGCCTGGTCCCGTCAGCTCGTTGGCCGCCAAGCTATCGACCTAGGTTTAGTAGTTCATGCCGACGGTATATTAGACGTCGCGTTATCAAGCATCATCAACAGCGAAGTCTCAGTCACCGCAAGATGTATCTGAGTCAAAAGCATCTGAGGCAACCGAAGCCGGCGGCGTACGAACTTCCTACAGGCGACATATTGGAGACGTACAAGTGTGCTTCCGTTCATGCACGTGCCGGAGAAGAGAGAAGGAAAACCGTGCCCGCGACCAGTCCTGCCACCTCTATCCGTACCTCTGCCTGACGATGCTGACCATTCGCTCGCAGCAGCAGACTCGCACCGCTCATGCCACTGCTGAAAACCTGGCCCTTGACCCGATTTCTACTGGGCAATTCAGATGTGGCTCCCAAAAAGTTGCCCACCGATGCCCACAATGGACACTAGTAATGCATGCACCTCACAGACCAACCGCCCGCTCTCACTCTCATCACCAAGTCGGATCCCTCGCCCAGCAAGGTGCTGACCGAACCTGTAGATGCCGTGATGCCTGCCAGAACGGCTGGGGTCGGGAGGTCCACGTTTACACAGTTCGTGCCTTGCGCTTGTCTGCCACTCTCTGCAGAGTGCAGACTCTCGATCTCCTTGTGCCTGAGGCATCACCTAGGTACAGAAGAATCCAGACATGGGATGACGATTGGGAGCCGCTAAGGCAGTACCGGAACGACACCCCACTCGGCGCCGGCCGCTTCGCCCAATCGGAGGTATCCAGGCGGTACCCACCAAGGACTAACGCCCACATTCTCCAACCACCGCTCGGCCTTTCGACCCCTCCATCTCTTCTCCAAACCGCCGTTTTCACCTTGCCCGAGCCACCCCCGAACCTCTCTCGGTGGTGGTTGGTTGTCGGATTTCTATTGATTCAGTAAAGAGAATCGGGACAGAGGGGACACGAAAGGAAAGGGAAAAAACTTTCATCATGCTTGCTCTCCCTTGCAACAGTTGCATATGCTCATCCGGCCCATTCTCGCGACCTGGCGACCGCGGCCCGCCCTGCAAACGGGGTCGGCCTTGGTGCTCGCCAAATAGCTTCCGCAGCACATCAACATCACGAGACGAGACGCCCGGACCAGTTGCTTCGACGTCATTAAGCTATTGTGACTGTGACTGCGTTTGACCGCCCAATATACGCGGTTGACAGCCTGTGCAAGTAAGAAGAGTTCATTCATCTTATTTCCATGACGGCTTCGAAGACTGTTTGTAGCACAAACTTCGGTTTCGGCCGTACGTACATGGAACGACCTACCTGCTACGGACATAGAGTAGCATACACAATGCAAGCATTCATGTCTCAACCCGTCTCTCTGCCGAGCCGCTGTCTCACCAGCCTCGTGCCAGATCCAGTCTTCCGGGGCGGACTCCGCAAGAGGCTCGCTCGCATGAGATTCTCGCGCTTCTTGCTTTCCGAAACAAAGTATCGAGCCTGATGCCGCACCATGTTAGTTCCCGGCTGCGGCAGCACGGCCCCGTTCAACATGCATTGGCCCAGCTTTTATCCGGGGCTCATTCGGTCTTTGCAATCCCGTCTTCGGCAGTCTTTGCCGTTCCGGTAGGCAAGAGTATGAAGACTCCGTTCTTGCGATCTGCTTCTCTAGTGGGACGTCCTCTAAGCCTGGTCTTCGAGTTGGCCGTTCTAGCCAACGGTCAACATTTGAGAGGACCAATGATCAGGGCCGAATCAGGCCAGCATCCGGCCGACAAACTGATTGCTTTTTTCACGTCCCCTGCGTCAAGTTGCTTTTCCCTCGGCCTTCGTCACAATTGAGGATGGGCTCGCTGTCACTCCAAGGGCTGAAGCACTCATGTCCAGGTCAGTGTTTGAGCATTCAACGACCATAAGCCGGAGGAGGTTCAAGTCGAGTTGATACAGCCAGAACTCACGAAATTGAATTCTTGGCTAACAATTTCATTATTTACCAGTTTTCTACCGCTGTCATTCTACTTGAACGGAACGACGTCTCGAGACGCTCCACCTCTGAAGCCAACATATTATCGAAGAACTTGAGAACTACAATTTCCAAAATCAGGTCTTGTCACCAATTGTCTTATTCTCGCCGTGTCTTTAATTCGGTGAGGCTAAATAAAGAACAGTAACCTCCTAAATTCCCAAATGACACAAAGAATAGGCTGTCTACAGCTTTGTCTATGCCGTCACACTGTATGGATGGAAGCAACGAGACGCCTCGATTCCCGCTGTCTGTCCCCCACGCCCGGATAGAAAGCAAACACGACGTGGGAATTGAAGCCATCCAATCGGACGACTCCCCGCCCTTTCGTGTGTCCTCGGCATTCACTTGTCGTGATCCAAATATATCTCCATTGCCAGACGTCGGCAGGAGACGGTCAACCCAATCACACTGGGCCTCGGGAAACAGATGTTCGGGAAACTGACAAACTCTATGGACAAGCCGACATGGTCGCCGTCCTTATGATCCATATGCACAGCAGTGTGACGTGTCTACGGTGAAGTTCACGAGGGTGGGGGTCTGGAGGCATTAGGAGACGAAAGTCTGGGACGGCCTCCCAGCCCAGTTCAATGCCCATCGTTCAGCTAGCGGAGGCTACAAGATCGTTTGGTTTCAAAACCTTTTCCAAAGTGTGAGTCTACCGCGGCTCACGGCACAGCTTAGACTGAGTGTCCCAAAGAAGTACGGGGCTGCGTCTATCAGAAGTGCTGCAACTCTGCCCTGCCTGCCTGCCTCGGTGCGTTGACTCCGTCAGTCATCACACGAGGCGCGGAGGGAATCGCAGCCACGAGCTTAGGGTCGCTATCTTGAAACACGCGCGGCGAAATGGCACTCCCCTAGACCCAAAAGCCATCACCCGGTAACGAGTCTTATTCTCCCCGGCCCAGGGGGTGCTTGGAGCTGACGTTGAAGCCGGCGCTACATATCACCGGAGGGCCTTGGGATGATTAACTCGTGCCGGAAGCAGAGGCCTCGAAACACCAGAAAGCGCGCTAGAAGAATTCCAAGACCATTTGGCGGCATAACAACAGATTTACACATCTAATCTGTCTTACTTTCGCATCCAGATTATCACAATCTCGTCTTCCCAACTTTGTCAACACTGTGTGCGTTGCCGGCTGATATTTCGAACAACGTAATAATTTAACATCCTCCAATTTCCTTTCGGTTCAAAGGGGGGGGGGGATCAAGAGGACCCTTTCCCCCTTCTCAAGCCCAACATCTCAATACGAAACACGATATCAAGATTGAGCGCTACCAGCTGCCAAAACATAATAGAGCCCAACCCCTTGACCTAGCATAAGCATAGCTCGGCTGTGCCCGTGTACAACGGCCCGCGGAGGAAGGGGGGCACATGGAGATGGAAGGACGGGATAGAAAAAGAAACGAGACAAGAATAAGAAAAACAAACCGCCTTTCAGCCGCGAACGCACGACTAACCAACCCGCCCAATGGATTGCAAAAACAAACAGACACAATGACATGAATGATGGCATGCCGTACTGCGCAACTTTTTTTTCCGGGAGATGATCAGGGATCCGTTTAGCCACGTTCTTCCCATGTTTCCGATATACTTTTGTTTTTCTTTGGCCCTGCCAAGGCCCTCAACTGCCGAGATTTAATGGGATGGGACCATTCAGATGTTTATTGTGGTAAAGTGCAAGAAAGCTACCCTGCCCACCCCTTCCGATCTCATTCCATCGAGAGAGAGGGATGAGTGTTACCACCTTGGTTTGGAGATCAGAGAGGAAGAGAGAGGCATACTGGAGATACGAGCTTGGAGGGGAGGAGAGGAGAGGAGGCTAGAGACAGCTTTGCTGCACAGGCAGAATGGACATGGTAGCAATTGGCATCCCACCGCTTCCAACCCCCCACGTCACACTCGCGAGCGTCGTTCTGATCTTAGTGCTGTAACATCGAAGCTACGGGGAAGTGTTGCCTGGATTTGCATGTTACCAGTCGCGTAGACGCAATACAGCAGTTCAGCATTCTTGTTCACGAAGCTATAGAAGAAGAAGAGGGGCGTTATAATTTCCTATCCATCCAAGTGGCGTAGTCGGGGTTTGAGGAATCTCTCCACGGAGCTAATCTGATATACCTACAGAGAGTCGCATTATATTCTAGTAGTCTCAATTCTTGTCTCCACCCAACATCCGTATTATGCGTTCTGGTTTAGCGACAACTTCCCAGTGATGGAGACGTTTCCAGGCACCTTGAAGATGGTACGAGAAGATACCACCTTAGATGAACATCAGGATCACGAAATCAAGATACACGATCAAACCAGGGGGGGCTCAAGTCAGGTAGTATGGGAATGAGCTTAAGCTTTGGAAGGCTGGAAAAGCTGGAAAATTGGTCGTTCCCATCGCCCCGGCGCTCAAGATCCGATTCGGTCTTCTTCTCCGTGTAGAGTCGCCTTCCGAGCACCAGGCAGCAGCACGGTGCCACCCCGCTTCCTCCTCCCCCTACCCCCCGCGGTGCACGGTGGTGTCGTCCCGGACGCCCGGGCCTCCGAGAAGTCGAGAACCGTGGACGACGACATCTCGGGAAGAAGACCGTCTGCGTGTATGTGCGTTCCGCCGATGCGGCGCGATCTTACGTCGCGTACGGAGAGGTGTCACTCTGATCATTCAAGAGATTGCTACGTACGTTGCCATGGATTGGCGGCTGGTTGCCCGACCAGTCTTATGGACTAGATGGTACTGGAAGATATGGGAGATGAGGTAAGAGTCGAATGATGCCGTGTAAAGGGGAGGTTGAAATTAGAATCTGAGGAAATGTTACTCGGCAGGGGGAGGCTGGGCCGTACTTGTTTCTTCTTCAACTGGACAGTCGGCTATAATGGATGCTCAGCTTAAGCAATTTTGCTCATGTTGTACGGCGAGTTCCCGATTTGACGTTGTCAGATTTACGTCCGTAATGCAGGCCCGGACAGCGGGCTCGATGACATCTGCCTCACACCCAATTCGTCTTTTCTTTGCTCTGGTCTCCACACGAGCTATCTCTCTGCACCCTCCACGGTTCTTCTCGGGCGTAAGGCTGATAGCTTCTCACTCGAACTTCGGACACGCCGTATCGTTGGGCAGCTCCTTTTTCCTTGATGTACTACGGGATATGACATGCAGCTCTGCAGATCTGCCGCTGTCTATCCCTGGTCTCACCATTCGACGTAGACGGTTTACGGGATTTTCACATCTGCCTACAGGTAGGTGAGACATTTGGGGCCAAGTCTACCAAGGAAGAATTATACGAGAAGAAAGGGGGTTCTTGCAGGAAGGCTGCAGGAGACAGATGGTTGATTCTTATTTTCTTGCGGCTGAGAGTGGAGAGGGCCTTGGAGGGGGTGGCATGGAAGGGCATGGGACTTTAGAGCCAAGCTTTCTAGGTGGGTGACAGACAAGGCTTTGTTACTACTATGTGTGTGTGGGAAGCCAATTTTGGTGGTGTGGTGATGTGTTTAGAGTGCTTGGCGCACACTTTTGCTGGCATGGTCAGGAAGCAGTGATGGACTTCATGTGAAGTTGTTCTTGCCTGATACGTTAACCATCTGCTCGCTCGTGACTCTGTTGAAGACGGATAAGTAGGCAACAAGATGTTTCCTCTTAGTTGCCCTTATCTTCGTGAGATGGTATTTGGTAGATGAATATGTCGGTTTTCGTATCTTTGCCTGACTTTTTCTATGCCATGTTTGAGTCGACACGGATCCTTGTGTATATTCGAAATAAATCTCGTGTTGCCTCATAAGGTGACTCTGTGGCGACTATGCAAACTTGACCAAGAGTGCCTCTTGCCGCCGTACAGTCTCACTCATGTGTCTACTCCGTGCCTTGTACTTCTCAGACATTGGCATTCCCGGCATACCTATTTAAGCAATGTCAGTCTGTTCCATCTTACAAGCGTCT